TCAACTGACGGACTCGTTTGATCTCATTCCCGTGTTATAAGTCATTCTCGCAGCACATTTCTTAATTACGAAACTCTGGGAGGTTCACTCGGTTGGAACGATAACCTAGACGGAAACCTCGCTATCCCGAATCTCAAAGATTCGTGGGCCCAGCGCGCCGCGGAGACGTCGTGGTCGAGGGGTTAAATATGCCCGTTCGTGTAAGGGTGTTTTCTCACGAGCGCGCGCCCAGCCAGCACCGAAAGTGATTTGTGCCCTTGGTCGTCGGGACGCGGTGCGCCTTCTTTCTGGAGGACGTCCAACTACTGTCGGGGACCCGGCGGCAGCGGCGGTCTACGGTCGCGACGGCGTTCAGAAATTTCTCTTCACTAGTCCTCACCGTATCAGCGATCTACGTCGTTTAGATGCAGTTAGATCTCTCGGCCTCTCATTAGCATATTCTCGGCTCGTATAATTTACCGCATGATAAACAGTTTAAGTAGGTAAGCAGCGTGATACCTCATCGTCGTTCCCGACATTCCTCTCAATGTCGGCTAAGTAATGCCGTCCGTTGCTTATTATTTATCATCGCGCGGCGGTATCGGGAGTTTCGACGATAAGATGCGATCGTAGCTCGCCAACGGCTACAGAGTCATAGCCCTCGTTTTGTTCGCGCCTTTCACGGTTTTCTGGCACAGGGTGCGTTTACATTTATCGACGGATAACGCGGCGGGATCGAATGTTTGTGTATGATGATGGTGGGATGTTAATTCGGTTGATGATGGTGGCTTAAGTGGCTGGTTTGGTTTGAAATCCTGTGATTGAGGACTCACTCCTCCTTGCGATTTTAAATTCATTGATTAAAAGTGAAACGATCAAATTATTTTCAATTTTGATGAAATTTAAGTGTACGGTGTTGTTATATACTGCGTCCCGCGTGATTAAGCTGAATGGCAGTCCTGCTATCGTCGGAATTCGACGCACAACTCATTGTAAAATCATTCGTTACATCCATGATCGCTAATAGAATGACGATTGCGATTCAGTGAGACGTCTCGCGCGGCGTATTTGGGCAAACAATGAATGGAATGATTCCGAAGTCGACATTGCTGGAGGATTCAAGGAAAGTCGCGCGACGGCATAGCTTTAATCTTTTCTTGCGCGTTCGACTCGTGAAAGAGACATCCATCGACGAAAGTTTAGAAAATTCGAGTATGTCGTTCGACCCCCTAATTGACCGCTATGAAAATTTGGAAGCAATCAAGCTTGACTCGTAGCACCTCGAACCTTGTAGAAACTTCTGAAAAACGTCGAGTGCTAATTTTGGAGCTGCCGCGGTCCCCAGACGAAACTAAACGCGAAAACGCAAAAACGCGTAGAAAGAAGTAGGCACGAAGAAGCACGCCGGGCACAAGTAACGAGAAAAACGGTATTCGACACCCCGTGGTGTACGGATGAGTTCATGGGAGGGCAAGAAGCACGGCTGACCTGCCAGCAGACATATTAAAATGATGCAGAGAGGATCCCCGAGGTGAAACTCGCAGAAACTCTCGTTCGGTCCCTTGTCTGCCAAACTATTTCAGGACGCGCGGCTAAAAGCGGGAATTCGTGGACCGTGCGTAAAGTAAAACATCTCGGAAGCTCCCTTGGATTGTTTGTAAACATGTTATTGTAATCAGACCCCTTTCGACGAACGACGACCGACAAACGATTACCTGGATTATGCGGAAATGCCTGACGGTGGACTTCTATTCCGAATCGGTCGCGTAGAGTTATTATTCGAACACATTTCGCTGGAAATAGTTCACTGAATCACAATGTCGAAAACTATTAAGGGATCGCGTTTCTGGAGCAAATGCAGACTGGAATAAAAGTGGTGCTATCTTTGGTATCAAGATAACCATGTAAAATATTGTTGAAATGTTGTTGACCCTCCATATCTATTGAAGAAATTTCTTTAAATTAATGGGTAGGCTTGATGTTTCCCAACAAATTTCTCATTATAAATGTATACGTATTTATAATGAAAAATTCATACGGTAATATCATATTATTTAATTTAGTCAAGCTTCTTCAATAGACACAGAGTGTGCGAATATTTATGGGGTTAACTATAAATTCGATTGCTCCAAGTTTTCGTATATATTAACCACGTTGTTTCATAGTAACGACTAATTGTAAGTATGTCACGCGGACGCGCGGATCACTCGACGGGGAACGTCACAATGGTATTTCTATTACAACACAACACAGTGACGAATGCAAGGTATGCAGAAAATAATTCGAGGGTAACAGAAATTTATAATAGCGGCTTAGAAACGCTTGCCGGGCGGGAATTTAAAGTCTCCTGGCAAAACAACCAAACAAATCATCGAACAGTTGCTGCTGTTTGTCTCGATTATTTTCCTTATAATTTAACGAATATTTATTCGAATACTGGAAGAATGTTGCAGCTATTTCGCGGCAAGAAAATTAATGGCAACGCGAGGATTCAGTTCATTCCGAAAAACTGTATTATATCGAATTGTACGGAGTCGATGACAAATATGCCAATGGAAAGAACCAACTTTCCAAAACACGCGCAGTTTCGCGAAGAAAAAATATTCCGGACGAGGGCAACATTGTTAACGGGTCGAGACTTCATTTTCGACCGCGCTAACATCAACATCGTTTCGGTGAAACTTTTTCAAAGGAATGTTTCGCATCACCTGACCGCCCCATGGATTACCTGTCCGTTCGAGCGGCTCGCGCGAACGGGACAAACTAGTTCCTCCAGTTTCGAAACAAACTCCGCTAATTCGAATCCAGTACTCTCGATTTATGTGTTACGCTTAGGGCGGTTAAAATATCGGAACGAATACTCGCGGGGTGTCATAATCCCAAGGTGGGACTTGTCCGACAAGAATTCAACGCTCTTGATATCCTCGAACGCCCGTGATACCGACGCGAGAAGAATCGTTCGCGTTAACGTGGAAATTATTGCGATCAAGCAGCTGGGCATTCGACGTATGCGACTTGAACTAGGAAGCATGGGAATGTAGGAATCGGAATTTTCTTGTCGTTTCTGGATATTAAAATTTCGCGGTCTGGACACCCTATGTTATTGAAAGGCTTTAGTGATGGATATTTGAACATAAATATGTTGGAATGGTTGCAAACAAATAACACGTATACGTCCCTTAAAATATGAAAAGGCTATGGAACAAAATTAATTCGAATGCGCCTTTGAATTTTTCTTAAAAATTTTGCAACGATGTTTATGTGCCTCAGCTGACCCAGTGTCTAAATTGTCAATTATCTAAAAGTGCACTGTGACTCTCTCTTCTGCTACGTTTCGTTAGCCTGAAAATCCAGCGAAATTCACATCTGACGTTCCGTGACCAATCAGTCAACACCGTGGCTGCGGTGGTCCTTGTTAGACCGCTTAGACTCTCGGAGGAGAACCAGCTTGTAATCTCTAAACGAGACAAGCCGCGCGATACACGTCCCGTATGACAGCACGTAAGGTTATGAATAATGTGTCGAGAACGCGGTCCTGACGAGCCGCTGACGTCTAAATTTTCGACGATCGTAGATGTCCGCTCTCGTCGTCCAACCACTTTGAACCGGTGCCGAACGTGTCGTTCGCGTAATCGTTCCTGCCCCCCTTCCCCCAAATGGCGACTGTTTCGACTGCCCGATCGAGTTTTTTCGCTCGTAGAACTTCCATCGTGGAAGACAATGGCTCCCCCGAGATCATCCTAACGATTACACAGGGAACGATTCTTTTGTCGTGGCAGCATCGCGAGCCAACGACGATGCCACGTTTGGTTTTTGGGGGTCATTTGGTACCCCAAAACAAAAATTTCATCGAGTTCGAATGAAGAGACTCGTGGTGTAAGATTATCGATACTCTTTTGTTTAGAAGTAGTAAACGAATAGCTAAATAGTTCAGCTTCAAAGGGTTATCCTAGAGAGGATTTTAGAGTAGTATTTACGCTTCGAGAACTTATGTACTTGTCACATAGTTGCTGGTTAATTCAGTACGAGTATTGAACACATTATTAAATAATATACTTAAAGATATTTTGGAGAGAATGTACGACTCGTATCTGTCGCAATAGCGAGTGCCTGTTACGCATCCGGGAGGAATACCGTCGCAACGTTTCTTTGCCACTGATCTTCACTGATCGCAAAGTTCGCGCAATTTGATTGAAAAACAAATGCAGTTACAAGTTGTACACAAACAAATCAAACGTTATCTCGATGTTCTATTGAATCCTACATCGAAGAGTGTTCGCTATACCGGAATGTTTCCACTAAAAACATCTCTTATATCTTTCCTTGCGTTTCTAAATCTTCCCAGCCCCACACCCCTCAAAATTCTGTCCACGTTTCGTACAAGTAACGCTTAGTATAATTCCAAGCTGATCGAAACTTTTCAATTCAGCCACGTAATCCTAAAAAGCTGCTGTTGGCCCTACTTTATACTCGAGGAACGTTTATAAACACGTCGCCCGTACCACCGATCGGACGGTTAGGGAATTAAGTAAGAAATGGTCGGTTCAGGGTAGATTCCCAAAGATTCTTATCGCCATAGGACTGCTCAGTCGCCAGTGATTCTCAAGCATTCGACCACCGAGAAGACTCGTTTCAGGATTCTATTACGGAGCACGATTATACAAGTTCAAACTGCAATTTACTTTAGTAAATAGTCACCTAAGCTTTCACGTCACCCTAAAATTAAGCTACTTCCATCATATCCTTGTAGCACCCCCCAGCTTTAAACTACTCGTGCAACAGATACTCCCATATCACTCCATGTAACAATCTTCCACGATAATCTCGTATCTCACCCAAGTTACTCGGTACTCTCCATTCTTCTATCGCTAAACAAACACTCACGTCTCTCCCAAGATACACGTGACTCTCGGTACTCTCCTAAACTCGGTACCCTTGTTCCCGCGGAGTTTCATAGTATTCCTCCCGGACGCGTTAAGAGACAATCTCGTCGAGGGAAGAGAAATAATAGTAACACTCACCCTATCGTATTGATGCGTCGCCGTGGCCGCTGAGAAGGATTGAAAAGGCGCGGGCCTCGCCGGGCTGTGGTGAGCCGCATGCGGATTTGCGTGGGGATGGGTGTGAGAGGCCGCATGAGGGTGAGTCGGATGCGGCGGCGGCGGTGGCCTCTGATAGAGGTAAGGATAATATTGATACATCACCTCGGAGCAGCTCATCACCCCGCCCGGGCCCGGCACCCCAGAGCCGGCCTGCCGACTTGCGTACCCGAACGTCGCACCACCCGTTCGTACACTATTTTTCCTTTCCACTCTGTCCACTCGCCTCCTCTCTCGTCTCTCCTCGGATCACCGATTCCGTCGATAGGCGGTCGAACGATCGCTCGATTCACCGGAACGTTCGTGTGCACCGACTTCGAAAACGCTGCGTCAGGTCGAGCCGCGCATCGTCACCGCGAACGGTTCGTCAACTAACAACAGACCCGTGCCGCGCGTTTGACCCGCGTCGTGCCTTCGATAACAACGTTAGGCCACTTTTTGTCGCATACTCGACGGTACTGCGCGCTCGCCAGATGGCTTTTCCAGGAAATGTTTACCGAACCCCCGTTTCTCGGAAAACCGAATGACCGCGACTTCTTAGCTTCGATTCCGAAGTACACTTTACCAGGTCACCTTCCGATCGCGAGATTCACACGTTTCACACTGATTACGGAGCAACGTCGATGTTTGATGAAAATATCGAGAATCTTCGCGATACACGCTCCGATTTAAAGATGAGAATAAAGTATCTCGTAACAAGTTCTTCCAATGATCTTCCAGGAAGAAGGAACGTTTCTAGGTCTCTTCGATGTTACACCTGCTTTGCCTCGATCGGAGCAGTGTCTTCGCGCAATTCCTTGGGAACTGTCTTGCAACACGGTTCGAACTTTCTCAAATAACGATTTTCACAATTCGGCAGATCACAAAACTCCATGTAACTGGCCCCAACTCTGGGACCAGGGTACAAAGTGCGTCACTGTTCCACTGATTCAAAGAAGCTCGAAACCACCGGGAAATCTTGGTTGTCCGCTATTCCCATGCGGATCCTCGACGGTCGGACTACCGATCGGATCCCCGACGCTCGGGGAGGAGACTGTCAAGTTCAAGGGCTCGATGCGTCCAGGAGCTGATTCGAATCACCGTGGTACACCTGGTTTGCGGGGAGGCTACCCTCGCGGCGAGAGACGCAACCGGACCGTATCGTGGCTGGTGATGTGTCTCTGATGGGCGAACACAGACTGAACCCCCCGGCGTCGTGTCACCCTCGCCGCAGACCGGTCCGCCGTCTTTTTCCAACTGGTCGCTCCGCGGCTCTCCGTCTTTTTCGCTTGCCGCGTGTTCACTCCTTCCCATCGAGGGTCAGGGACTAGCCTCCCCCTTTCGTTAACCCCGACAGAGGGGCTAGCGAGAAAGGAACCGCCTCCTGGCAGTTCCACTGCTAGCCAATCACCGAGCGGGAACACCACGTCCAATGAGACGACGGTTGCCACTCCTACGCCCAGTCGTCTCTGTATTGATCCCACAATGAACCCGACTGCCGCTCGCGGTATTAAGAAGTTTCTACTCGGGTTAAACCATCCCCCTTCCTCCAACGCCACCTCCTCATCCTCCTCCTCCTCCTCCGCCTCCGTCCTCTTGCTCGTCCCAAAGCCAGGTCTCCCTACCGTGGCTCCTGCTCGACCAGCTACCGCGTTCCCATCTCCTACGGCTTCTTCTTCGTCTTCTTCTTCTTCTCTACGTTCTCTCACTCTCTCACACTACCTGACACCGTAGGTAGCTCGGTTCGCCACCCTTTCGCCGCTTCCAACCCCAAACCCCGGTCCGCCGGAGTCAGCCCGCGCGCATAATGAGTCTTAATTAACAGTTTCGCGGTGTTTTGGGAAGCTTAATTTGCTGCGCCTGGAGAGAGCCTAGAAGGAGAGACGACAGTCGCTTCTTCCCGCGTCGGACAGGGAAATCTGGTTCGTGCCGACCTCTTCCACGAATGATCGAGCAGTGTGAGTGATTCGAGCCGTCCCGGAACGGGATCGAAGATCGTTGATGGAAGATGGAGGTGGGAGGTCGAACGGTCGATAGGCCTGGGACGATATCGGTCGCGGAAATGGCGTCCGTACCTTTAACCCTTTGAGTAGTATAATGGTATCAAGGTGGTAGTTATACATATGCACAAGCGTATTTATGTACAAAATAATGAAAAATTCATTCGCTAATATCAAAACGCTTTCGCCAAACAAAACGTAATCGAACAAAAGAATTATTGATAATCCCACCCCTGGAAGTCGAGGCTCCCAGCCAACCCTGATCGCTCACCTACAATCGACAAACTCGCTCCGCTTGAAGGACTTTTCAAAGGGATAACTTGGAAAATCGTGGCGTCCCGTGTCGAAGATCCACCGTCCACTTCCCTGTCTTCTCCCAGCTCCCTCCTCTGACCGTGTCATTGTCTGCTATCCATCCGGCACGTTTCCCTCGTGGGGTGAAGCGCGAGGAAGCATATTTCAGACGTCTCGTCCCATTCAACCCGAGCTCGATGGGGAGACGACCCCGTTTGCCAATATCACTGACAAATTTAATGCTCGACTATTAGCAGCGGGGTGCAGGCTAACCTCCCGCATTGTTCGAGTGGCCACGTGCAGGATGACTGTTACGCCCGTGGAGGAGAAACGTTTGATCGAGATGGGTCGATCGGATCGTCTGCAGGAGAATCGTTCGCGACGAACACCCCCCGGTAGGGGTGGACGACGATCGGAAAAAAAGCCCGCGCTTCGCGTCACACTTGTCGAGGGTTATTGGATTTGCGCCGACGCCACGGGACGTCCTTCATGGACCTGCCCGCGTTACACGGGAGATTAGGCGCCGTCTACGACACCGATTCGACAGGGTCAAGTGTCCCCGACGCTGTTTGCTCGTGTAGTTCTCGAGCTGTCCTACACCCTCGTTGAGCGGTAGCTAGGCGTTTGACCCAGTCCCGACTTCCACTGCTGACGAGTCTGAATTATTCCGAGTCTCGAAGGATCTTCTTTTCTTTTTTAATCGATTGATCGAACTTGTCTTCGCTATCCGTGGAGTACATTCGCCATGAGTGAATCGGATTAGAGGCTCTTGGAGGGAGGTCTTGAGATCCGTTTTGTTACTGCATCTACGCAGTTCTTCGTCGAAAGTCCGTACTGATTATTGCTCTGATATTCGAATTAAAAGCGCGAAGAGTACGTGATATACGTGAAGTATAATTTTATCGTAATAATACGTAAAAACATAAAGTACACTTACCTATGTGAAAAGAAACCAAGATTTGTCAAGGAACAAGAAACTAACGACTACACTATTTCCACAGAATTAAAACAATGCGCTTACTTTTAATCGATACGATATCGACACAATTCTTTTCAACCGATACCGCGAAAAATATGTAATTCGCCAACGGAAAAAGCTAGTACAGTTTTTATTGGCGAATATCCGTCGCATTGCTGTTGTCGCGTCGAGTTACTATGAATTCCATAATTGTGCCGCGAGGAATTATCTTGAATGGCACTTATTCAGCCATTGTGTTAAATATGGATCTTTGAAGTAGTTATCGCATGCTTGCTGTGCAATTTCCTTGGACGTATAAACGATACGCGCGAAGGACACTCGAGGCTATTAATTTTCATCAAGAGTGGCATACCAGTTGCATACTTTTCTATATAACATGATTCATAAGCAATCCATTTCGCAGGAAGGCATCCTTCTTCGCGCGAAAGGCTGACGCTTTGAAGATTAAACGTCCTTAGACGATCCTTTCGATGTTACATTGTAATTACAATTACAACGTGGTATGTCGATAATTATCGAGCTTTTACTTATTTATAATCATCGAGGGAGGATTGAATTTTCAAATTAGTACACTTGACGCGAGCGATACGACGGAATCATCGAACAAAATCTTTCTTACTCTAACTGCTAAATAATTAATGAAAAAATAATGAAATAATTCGGATGAATTTCATCGATCTATTCTAATAAATTAAGATAAAATGGGGACGTCCCAAATATTTGATTCAAGCAACCCCTGGGGAGTCGAGTGTTCATACACCTCCGGATCGAATAAAGACGAGCACCGAAACGTCCCGAGGTGCGAAAATTTGGTGGAATCGTGGCGAACAATAGATCATTACGGGATTAAGATTGCCGGAATGGTTCGCAGGAGCGGTGGAAACGGATCCGCGTTACGCCACGGCGGAGGAGGACAAAGCTCGAGGAGCCGGCGGAAGAAAGAAATGGAAGAGAGACGACAGATCTCCTGGAATTCTCTAATTTGCTATTTCGGCATTCCGAGCGATCCGTGTGTCGGGATCGTTCGTGGGACTCCGTTCGTGAGAGGCTGTTGCCGATCTATCAAAAAACGCGATTCCGCCGGCTCTTCTTCTGTGACCGAACCGCGAAACGGCAGGACAGAAGAACGGTCACCGATGGGAACCGACCGGTTCGAATCTACGATGAAAATCCTTCAAACGCTGAGAAATTCCTCGGTTGCGTTTGTCTGAGAACGCTGCGATTATTCCATTACATTTTCAATGCAGCTAAAAGTTATAATTCTTTGAAAATAGGGACTTTTACAATCGTGAACATATTAGGGATCGTTCGTTATAGAAGATTTTATCTGCAAGTAATTATGTAAGGTCCAGAATTGGCTTTAACTAATAAATAATTAATAATTAATGGAAAAATAATGAGGATAAAATGAGGATGTACCAAATATTAATCCATAGGTACCTGTAAGGAAGAGAAGACACACGAGGTAACTTTATTTTTATTTGTAAATAAACAATAGATTTCCTCGTTAAAAAGATCCTGTAATATCAGAAAAGATGGGAAATTATAGAACGAGTGGTTCCAGGGAGTATTTTTTCTCCTTTATTTCATTCGAGCAACGACATGTGTTACGACTAATGCCATAATGTTTATCATAGACCATCAACAACGAAGAGCACAAGTAATCAACTTGTAATCTGGAAAAAATATTTCTAATCGTGATCGTCGATGTTACTCCTGGTTACTTCATCTCGAAAGCGTTTGCTCTTAAAATCTCTGGTACGGACTTAATTCCTAGTTTATTCGTTATTTCCAGCTGCTTCCTGCGAGTCCTCGGAATTCGACGACTGTTCCGTTTCCTCCGTCGTTTCAGGTACCTCTGGAACTTCCTTCGGCTCGGGCTTCTCCTCGTCCTTTGATTTCTGATTGCTTTTTTGATCACTTTTTCCAGATTTTGCCCTTTTTTCTTCGTCCGCGTCGTCGAGATACTTGTCCCACTTCGCGATCCGAGCCTCAATTTCTGCGTCAGTTTCTAAAACCCTAAACAAGAAAAGAAAACGATCCGCATTTTTGTACAAAATGCGTCATAAGCGATAGAATACCCTAGGATGAAAACGATAACATGAGAACCGTGAGAATCGTATCTAGAAACTGCGTGACGTCTGAAAATAAGAAATAATCGAAGAAATGAAAATTATTAATAGACGCATAGAATGAAATCAAAGCGAGTTAGGAACTAGAAATTTTCTAGTGTGAAAGATGGTAGTTCCAATGGCTGATACGTTTTCTCCCCCAGAGATCCCGTCGATAAACCAGAGTCGGAAATGCAGAGAGCGACCCTACCAGACACCGAATGTACCACACGATTCAAAGCTGTAGCGATAGTCAGTAATGTATCGACTACGTTGGTGTAGGCGTCGATACAAAGGAAAGCGATCGGTAAACCTACTTGTACTTAGTCTTCCCATCCCAGATTTCAGCCGATATTTTCCTCTGACTGAACCAACGACCGTTCAATAACTGAATACAGGCCTGAGCTTCTGCAGGTTCTCGGAATGTCACCTGTGCAACACCTTCAGGATGTCTCTGCAAGCATTCAAGGTAGTCGCGTCTGAGTTTTTGGAATCGACCGATACGATGGGTTTTCAATCTATAAGAAATATATGGTGATTGTTAAGGTGTTTATATTGAATTAACAGATTAATCGATCCTCTATTATATAAAGTAAAAAGAAAATATGTAATTTTTATCAGGGGCATTTTTAGGGATGATAGCATAGATGGTTTTGTCTCCTTATCGATTACCTCGATACTTGCAATAGTTGCGACTACTTTTGGAATTAATGTCATTACAGATACTAATGATTTTCTTAAAAAATAATTTGGGAAATGGATACGTGGAGATGTCTCAACTAAAGTTTGTATTCATTCCCTGCGGTTGCTTTAGTATTACTGTAAAATGTCGTACAATCGTTCATTCAGCGAACAACGATTTCTCTTTTCTTGCATTGGTCCTGAAACGAAACTGA